TTTTTTTTTTTTTTGGATGGAATAGGGAAGGGTTAACCCCCTAAAACATTTGTTTTGCTGTCCTCACAGTGGCTCTAACCCCAGACCATACTAACCAAAACTAAAAAAATTAAATTTGCATGGAGTTCTTCTTTAAATGCCAACTTGGCCAGATCTTTGTACAACTTCCTGTAATGTACTGTACCAGACCCGGAAGAAGAGGCAGGCACTCCTCGTCTGCACGTCAAACAACTTCCTGTAATATACAAGAGGTACAGTACTACGAACCAGACCCACTCCTCGTCTAACAACTTCCTGTAGTGTACAGGAGGTACAGAACTACGATCCAGACCCACTCCCCGTCTTCACGTCTACCAACTTCCTGTAATGTACAGGAGGTACAGTACTACGAACCAGATCCACTCCTCGTCTTCACGTCTAACAACTTCCTGTAATGTACAGAAGGTACAGTACTACGATTGTAGGCACGAGCATGGTAGCATTACAACTGGTGGAACAGCCTGGGACCTCCGTTTGTAAGTACGAGTCTTTCGTAACTCGGAGACTGCCTGTAATTGTCTAGGTTAGTCTGGAAGCAATTTGCCAAAAATATTAATTTGCCATAGCAGTTGGCATACTCTAAAGTGGCACATCCACATAAAAAAAAACAGCTCTTTGTGTAGCAAGTCAATATTCATTTATGTGCTCACTGTTACATAAACATAGGGAAATGTATAGGGAACACTGCCCACTATGCAGGGATGTTGCTTTCACAATAAGAGGGCGTGAATTTTCTTCTGGTAAAAGGTATCATACCCACAAGTTACAGTACCTCTACTCAACATTCAAACATGCTAATGTTTTTGTGCCAATTTGCTCTTGTTTTTTAGTGTAATTGCATTTTTTCTGCCATCTATTCTCTAGCATCTGTTTTTGCATATACTTTACTGGCAACAGCATGCCCTTTCCAGAAAGGGTAAGTTTGTTGGGCAGAGTTGTTTGGCAGAGAAGAGTGCAGTGTGCTAGTCGTGGGGGACTGAGGCAACAGAAGGAGTACATGTGGGACTGAACTGATTGCCAAAGAGGAGTACAGTGTGCAGCTGGCAGGAGAAAGAGGCAGAATTTATTTGATGGGAAGGGATGACCTTTAACTGTGAGGTAAAGTAGCTAGGGAGAAATTTTCTGTTAAGTAAAGGGTTGAGTTCCCAAGGAAGGATGTATTGTGACCAAGGGGTGAGGTGGGTAGGATGCAGGCACAGTGACTGTGGGGCGTGGTGAGAGGAAGCCACAGTGAGAGAGAGTAAATTGGACAGGAATGGAGATGCTATGAGTGGGGGTAAGGTGGGAGGGGTGTGCTGTGGGCAGGGAGTAATGTGGGTTGTTGTAATTGTATTGAGGGTGTTTGGTTGCTTAGTAGTGGCATGGAGTGGCCACTACCAAGCTTCACACTACACCTGCGCAGAAGGTGGACTTTGCTAAACCCCACTAATAGGCATGCTGCCGTTTGACCAGTAAGGTCATCCAATGTCCCTGGTGTAACTCAGCAACAAGGGACAAGTGGGGGTGGAGGCAACTCAGTGCCACTAGTTCACATCAGCTGCTATTGTTACAGAGACGCCCTGACTTTGAGTATACATAACTATAGGATAGGATGTTCCAGCAGGTCTTTGGCTGCTGTAGAATTAGTCCCAGCGCATCCTTACATCCAAAACGTGTATAGAGAGAACAAAGTAGCTGACAGTACAGTGGTGGACCACCAGGGCCCAGTCACAGTTGCAACCACTGCAACCCTGGTAGTTCTCGTAAAGATGGCAAGTATTTGCACTGATATCTGAACATCCCTACTATAAATACAAATGTTCAGTGTGGAGGCAGTTTACTAACATGCAATTCAGCTGTGATGAGTTCACTAAAATAAGGTTAAATTGCATATACTGTAAATTAGGGATGCACCGATACCGATACAAGCATCGGTATCGGCGGCGATACCGAGTATTTGCATGAGTACTTGTACTCGTGCAAATACTCCGATACAAAAAACAAGTGCCTGTGCCTCGTCCACCATCTTCAGGGACCCGAAACCGACGCACACAGGACCTCCACCGCGTCTTCAATTAAACAAGATGGCCACAAACTCCTCCTCCAAGTCCTCAGTCATCTGCTCCATTCTGCCCTCTTCTCCCGCTGATTGGCCGATCAGCGGGAGAAGAGGTCAGAATGGAGCAGATGACTAGGCTGTGACACGGAGTGGCTGAAGCAGACGGAGAAGACGACACGACACAGCAGGTTAGTAAAGTCACAGATATTTTTGATGTTGTTGCTTTATGCCAATAAAAAGGTTTGTACAGAATACAGTGTCCCTTATGAAGCTGCAATGGCAAAACATGCTGGGGGGAAGAAGTCATGTCATACATACAGTACTCTGGTTGTTTGCAGAACACAAATTAATGTAGCGGGCGGGAAGAGACTTAATTTGTTGTCACTTGTCTGAGATCACTGCAATCTGCGAGCAGAGGCACTCTTGGGAATTGTAGTTCTGAGATAGAGAAAAACAATGCTGGTACATGCAGAGTAAACTACAGTTCCCAGGTGGCTTGAGGGACTGAGAGAGAACTGTGTGGTTTAGCCCCTTCTGAAGTGCAGGGAGATCTGCTTTCACTCCCCGGGCTGCGGGACACGTGTAAAGAGGTAGCTGATTTGCTGCTGTCAAGAGAGCTGCTGAGGTTGTGGGGGATAGCAGCGGACATCAACAGTGAACAGAGAAAGTGGACACAGGGAGATCTATCTGATACATGACCTGGTCCTTTAAGAAAAAGTATCGGTAATTGGTATCGGCGAGTACTTGATCAAAAGTATCGGTACTCGTACTCGATCTTAAAAAAGTGGTATCGGTGCATCCCTACTGTAAATTGATATTAATTTCCATAACCTAATGTAAAAACATCTATTTGTGCTTATATATTTTAACAGTGTGCCAAGAAACTGTCTGGGAAGTGTTCAAGATCTTCTGGGACCGACTTCCAGACCAAGCAGAATATCAGCACTGGATGCATCAATGTGAAGAGGGTACCATGCCAGTGTTTGATATAGGGGAGAATTTCAGCAAGTCGGAAGACCATCACAAGTTAGTCAAACAGGTACACTATCACAGTAGAGAGACATCGCCATACAGCTTTGAAATATATTTATCAAATGGTTATAATAATGTCTTCCTGCAATAAGCAGTTTTAGCTTTCATTATTAACCCACCCTATGACTAATAGAAAGTATGCCTGGTTTATTGATGTTTGGCCTGAATAAATATATATTATAATATAACATTGATGGTTTCAGTTAATAAAGTAGAGACTGTTCAAGTCCCATGTTTGTACATGGTTGGAAAGTAAACACAGTTTACCCTTTTGCCTAAGCTATGTGAATAGTCTCTACTCCTTTAGTAAATTAACCCCTTTGTTCTTTTTTTGCAATGCTGTTCAGGACACAGTATTTTTGTACTGTGCGCAAAGAAACCCATTTGCTTGTGTAGCCCTGTAAAATGTTTTCACCTATACCATCTTTTTAAATTAGCACTAGTATCTAATATTCTGTGAATTAAAATTGTAGCATAATAATTATATATATAT